ATGATGCCTTACAAGCAAACAGTGGTCGGATGCCGACCCCCATCCCCGGTGTGGATCTTTGAGAGCAGATTTGACGCAATCCACCGTTAGATCCACATCGGAGAGGCGGACCGGTCATCCTGCTGCGGTTTAGTGTAGTCATCATATGGGAGTCAACAACACAAGGACCCGACGATGTTCCAATTGGGACGTGCTTTTGCTTCGTGATGTGCAGGTGCTCACCGACGGTGCGTTCGATCCCCTCCTTGACATGAGCATCTTTTTATTGAAAAAATTCATGCATCCCATGACATGAAAATTTTGTATTCTGTCAGTATAGGGAATTTGATTGTTTGTGTGTACCCAACCATGCGCTTGTCCGGACTCATTTCTTGGATTTGGCACATGGTCGGAGTGAACACTTCGACTTTAAGAAAACTTATGAAAGTCTTTTGCAGCAGTTTGATTGCCCGGGAAAAAAAGGGATCCGCTCAAAAGTTTATTATTGAATGTCAAGTCTGTCAAAGAACCAAGGTCCATTATCCGTTCACAGGCATACAACAGAAAAATTCCCGCGAGAAATTAAAGTTGAAAAAACATTCCATAAAAAAAAAATTATTCATATTTATAAATTATCATTCCAATGTTTGTCAAATTCTAAAATTTCCAGTTTTGTTTGATAAGTTCCCGTCTCAATATGAGTTTTCCCTTCCAACTACATCTATTTGTTCAAGATGGAATGGACGTCTGGACGAGTTTATGAAATGTTTTAATCAAACTTTCATTCTACTACAATAAATATCTTCTAATTTAGATTGGATTAACCTATTTATGACTGAAAATCCTTACTTAGAACGAGAGTCCGATTAAAATATTTCATGAACTCATCCAGACTTTCATTCCATCTCTAGCATGCAGTTCAAATAAGAAGGGATACCCCATTCTTTGAAGGAAAGTTCTCAAGTAAGGCAAAAAATTTTCAAATTAGAATGACATTTTTTAAAATGGAATGAAAATTTAAAATTTAGAATGTAATTTTACTATAGAATGAATATTTAATTCCGGGAATTTTTTCTGTTGTAAGCCTTATGGCCTGCTAAAACCCCTCCCCATTCCTGATGCACATGGTGAGTCGATTTCCATCGATTTAACAGATATGGGAAAGGTGAGTGAGGGAGTAAATTAGCAAGTCATGGTTATCGTGGACTGTTTCTCCAAATTTTAGAATTTGATTCCTTTTCCTTCTCATGCCCCAACTGAGTTTGTGATCGAAAAAATTCATCAGCAGTACATTTTGCAATTTGGCCACCCGAAAACTATTGTGAGTGGTCGGGACACCAGGTTCATTAGTAAAGATTGAAAGGACTTCACTTCTCAAATCTACGACATTAAACTCAACAAGACTTCTGGTCGACACCCCAAAACCAATGGATTGGCCGAGAAAATCAACCAGACTGTCATTCAACTACTTCGAGCGCTAATTATTCCAGATCAAAACACATGGAAC